CGAGGGGCACTAGTGCCTTTAGATGGCACTGACGAATATTGGAATTTCCTGTACTCGTCAGTGCCATCTAGGGGCACTATTGCCATGTGATGGCTATGCATTTTGTAAATGAACCCCTATAATTACGTGTAGTTATCACATAAACTAGTATGAATGCTAACTGTGTAGCTTAAACTACAGGTATCCATTTATTCCATCTGTTTAGAAATTGCTTGATACTTTTAGCGATTAATTTCCAATATAATTGAGCATTCCAACAATCAATTATGAATCTGTAGCAAATCAAATCATGTGTGTGTGTGTCAGGGGCATGTGGTCAGGGGAGGCAGGTGAGGCAGAGCCTCACCTAAAATTATGGAGGAAAAAGCTGTCAGCTTCATGTCTGAAGCTGACAGTTTTTTCTCCATTATGATCGGCATCTAACAGGTTACACAGCAGGGAAATCCTCCCCGCTGTGTAACCTGTCATGGACGGAGCACCTCAGCAGCGAGGAGCAAGTGAGGGACAGGGGGGCTCCTCCCTGTCTCCTCCCTTCCTCCTTGTCAGGGTTCCACCCTGACTTTACTGGTTTGCAGAATTCTGGCTTGGCTGCCATTTTACTCACCTGTTTCCTTCCTTGCTCGAGCAGACTCTGGAACGTTGCTCACTACTCCCGGGCTCCTTCTTATGGCCAGATAGGAGAGCATCATCTGAGTGAGTCCGATGGAAGTTTCTTGTCTCTGAGTGATGATGTCACCCCACTCACCATATATCTATATATCACTCAGTCCAGTCTGACCTTGCCCTTGCGTGGTCTTCCTGCTAGTGCTCTCCTGCTGCTCTGAGTATCCTGATTCCGTGTATGACCCAATCCTGACTGACTGCTCCTGGCTTGTTCCTGACAATGCTAATTCCCTGGCTCCTGCTCCTGGCTTGTTCAACGACGCTGATCTCTGTGTTCCTGACCTGGCTTGTACGACTACCCACTCTGGCTCCTAAATCTGACTTGTTCCGATTTAAGACTCTGCTTGCTCCTGTGCTTACTGTTCTTAATAAATATTTTAACTAGCACCTTTTGCTTGTCTGGTTTTCAATGTGCTCTGACACTCCTTTACACTATCTTAGGAACGGGTTGGGCTTCGTCAGACGGGCGGGACTTCAGCCAGAGGGGTGGGGCTTCAGCTGGGGGAAGGGGGCGGGGCATGATGTGCTGTGGGCAGGGCTGGGGAATTCCTCACCCAGAACAAGAAATACCGCACGTCACTGGTGTGTGTGTGTATAGATAGCCACCAGGCTCTCTTAAAATATTAATGACAGATCATTATAATGAATATTGGGTTTGTGGTTCAGGCATTCAGGGACAGTTCACACTGTCTGCGTTCGGGCTGCGCTGGCTATTTATTCCAGCACAGACCGAACACAAGACAAGGCAAATTGCTTTGTCATAGATGGGCTTGGTTCACACCACCTTGTTGCAGGGGTGTGTGCTTAAAAAAAAGGATGGCATGCAGTATTTTTATGTGCATCACAGTGACATGGTACAATGGCATCGTACTGCGGTGAGCCCATACCACTGAATGAAATGTCACTAGTGACATTTCAATAAAGCTGTAAAAAAAAAAGAAAGAAACAGTGGAGTGCAGCTCGGTAAGGACACGCACACCAGCAGCGTGTGGTTGATCGTGACTGCTGGTGTGATCCTAACCTCAAGCCAGATTCAAGTATACCTTAGTTTACTATAACTGCTATAAACTGTTGTGAAACAACAAGGTTTAAAAAAAAAAACCTAAAACTACTTGTCTATTCAGCAGTTTCTTTCTGCAGATCTGTAGCAGGGGAGAAGTTGAATGTGTAGCTTTTGTTGTGTGCCAAGGCAGCTCTGTGTCATGCCTGCCCTCAGTGCTGGCCCTTAATTTGACACATATCTGCTGTATAATTCAGTGCAATCTACAAGCTGCAATGCAGTCATAGATTTCTCTATTTAGCATAGTTTAAAGAAATGTAATTAGAAATTACTGGACCCTACAGTACTATTTTCAAGGGAGGCCTCAGCTCTCAAAAGCACTCTGGAACTTGTCTGCAATTAGGAACATGTGTTCTGTTGTACAGTAAAGTGATGTAACAACTGCATGACCTGCCATAGCTATGGCCTTGCCTCTTAATCGCATTTCCATTTTCATACCAATATTACAAGGTAATTAAAATACTCAGCGGACCAGGGATACTGACTTGGAGTTCATGGAGAGTTGACAGCTGAGCATACTTTGCATATACTCAGATAATCTTCAAGTAATGCTCAGGAGGTCATTAATAACAATTATTGGTACCTGTTACATCTGTTACATCAGAATTCCATTTAAACACTGACCTAAAACTGTTCTGGTAATGAATGATAATTTCCAAAATCCCACTACAACGCTGGTACGTGTACTAAATAGGTTATAGTCACACAAAAAATATTTGCAACAATAACCATCCAATGTAAACCAGCATTCTTTTAATAGTAACAGAAAACTGCCCCTTTAAAAAAAAACTCTATAGCTTTTTTAGCAGATCCAGGGATACCATACAATAGTTATAAGTTGAGAGATTTTGCGATAAAATGACTGATTTTCCCCAAAATTTGCTTGTAAAACAAAATCACATGGCTATTTTCTAAAAAAACGTGATCACCATGACAGTACTGACATGGAATTCAATGCCTTTGTTGATAAACTAAGCCAAGCTTTATATTAACACTAACTATAACCCTTTGTTTATTACCAAAGACATGTCAGTGCTAGCATTGTCAGCGCTGGCACCCATAACCAAAGGTTTAGGTTAGATTTAGGGTTGCTCTATTCATCACTATATAATATTATAGAGAAACTGTCACCTTGCCAATGCAGGGTAAGGCGACAGTGTCTTTGGAAAAGCCACACGCCCCCCGAGCCCCTTGTATTCTCCTTACCTGTGCTCTCTTCCAGCTAAAAATAATTATCAAAATATTTTCTGAATTGACTTAACAACAGACTTAAATCTGATTAGCTGCTTGGTGGGTTCAGAGCTTTTTTTAACTTTACTAAATAGTCATTCTCAGCTTTAAATTATGTTGCATCTTTTGAGTACATGCACCATAGCTGTCCATCAGAACAATTAACAACATTATGGACTCAATTCACAAAACATCAGGATAAGGATCCTTGTTTTCAAAAAGTGACAGTTATTTTCAGCTGAGACCAATGAGATTCCCAATTACAGTCACATGGCTAAAATAAAGCTCCTTATCCTTGTGTAAAGCTTTGTGAATTGAGCCTTATACACCGATCAGCCATAACATTATGACCAATGAGAAGTGAAGTGAACATTGATTATTTCAACCTGGATGTGGGTGGGATATATTAGGCAGCAAGTTAACATTTTGTTCCTGAAGTTAATGTGTTGGAACACAAGTGTAAGGTTTGAACAACTTTGACAAGGGCAAAATTGTGATGACTAGATGACTGGGTAAGAGCAACTCCAAAACTGCACCTCTTATGGGATGTTCCCAGTCTGCAGTGGTCAGGACCAACCAAAAGCGGTCCAAGGAAGGAAATCCAGGAAACCGGTGACAGGGTCATGGGTGGCCAAGGCTCACTTGCTGAAAAAGTTAATGCTAGTTCCGATAGAAAGGTGTCTGAACACATTGGGGGGAATTAATCAAAACTTGAGCAGACAGAATCTGGAGCAGTTGTCCATGGCAACCAATCAGCTTCTATCTTCAGTTTGCTCAGGTAAGATTTGAAAATGAGACAGAGAAGCTTACTGGTTGCAGTGCAAATCTGCTCCAATTTTGACTGCTCCAGTTTTGATAAATTCACCCCATAGTGCATTACAGTTTGTTGCACATGGGGCTGTGTAGTCGCAGACCAGTCAGAGTGCCGATGCTGACCCATGTCCACCACCAAAAGCACCAACAATGGGCATGTGAGAATCAGATCTGGTCCAGGAAACAATGGTAGAAGGTGGCCTGGGCTTATCAATCTCTTTTTCTTTTACATTAAGTGGATGGCCAGGTGTCTGTATCGCTTACCTGGGGAAGAATTGGCACCAGGATGCACTATGGGAAGAAGGCAAGGCTAAGGCAGTGTGATGCTTTGGGCAATGTTCTGCTGGGAAATCATGGGACATGACATTCATGTGGATAATACTTTGACACATACTACCTACCTAAACATTTTTGCTGACCAAGTGCACCCCTTCATGGAAACAGCATTACCTGATAGCATTGGTTTCTTTCAGCAGGATAATGCTACCCTGCAAAAATGGTTCAAGAATGGTTTGAGGAACACAACAAGGATTTTAAGGTGTTTACTTGGCCTCCAAATTCTCCAGATATCATTCTAGTCGAGCATCTGTGGAATGTGCTGAACAAACTAGTCCAATTCATGGAAGCCCCACCTGGTAGCTTACAAGACTTAAAGGATCTGCTACTGGCAACTTGGTGCCAGATACCACAGCATACCTTCAGAGGTCTAGTGATGGCCATGCCTTGTCGGGTCAGGGCTGTTTTGGTGTCAAAAGGTGAACCTACTTAATATTAGGCGGGTGGTCATAATGTTATTGTTGATCGGTATATACCTCTCTCCCCTCACCACTCTACCATTTCATTCTGTCTGCTCTCTCGCCTCACTTTGTAAAATTAGAGTAAAAGCAAGGTTTTACTTACAGCATCCATTTCTTTACTTTTATTCTTTTACCAGTTTTTGCACAGTTTTTGTACATATTAATACTCAGAGAAGCCCTAGTTAATTCAGAATTTCAATCCTGCTTGGAAATCCCCTTTAAATTTGTCGTGCCTGACTTTTATTAATATGCCCATATTACAAACAATCTCTGCAAATGTTCTGTTTTTCCTTACAAAGTAAGCCCTAACCAACATGACACAACACAATAAAAACACAAACTAATTTTCAGAGTGGATTTATTATCCCCAGAGTCAGTGATTAGGCAACATATGTTTTATAGAATAACATTTATAGAAATTTTATGGTGCACTGTACCTGCATTTCTTGACAAAAGGATGCCGTGGGTCCAAAGAGAATTTGACATTGTTCATCTGCTGTATATGTCATGCCTGGCAGCTTGGAAGGAATAATGACAGAGCTGATGCTTTGGGGATTTGTCTGCAGCAAACAGTTACTGGCTTTTGACCTGGCAACACAAGCAGAGTTTCAAAAACAAGAACAAAGCCAGAGGTGGTTGTGATTAAACTGCCATAAACATGCATTTTATGAACAAAAAGTCAAAGAACAAATGTTATTACAATTTTATTCAGGTTTGCACTAGAGAATAAAGCACTGTTTACTGTCTCACTGTCGGTTATACAGAAATCCAAAACATCTGAAGTGCCTTGCCCTAGAACAGAGATGGGCAGTGGAGAGTTACCAATAATTCCTAGAATGAACTGGTTGAACCTGGACACACTCCCATGATTCCCCTTATACTGGCCAACTGTCCCACATTTTCAAGGACAATCCCAGGCAAGGCTGCCAAGTACTATTAACTAACAGTAAAACTCTACTGAAATTTGTAATCCTCAGTACAAACAAAGAAGTTAGGCAAAACAAAAATGAAACATTTTGACAGTCCTCTAGTAACAGCACACACAATGGACAATACATGTATAAAATTATTGCCATATCGTATTTTTGTTCATAGACGCATTAGTGAAACCATATACAGGCTGAATTTACAACCCAGAGGGGTATAAAATGAAACAGCCACTTTGTTCCACTGCTGGCCTGCCTGCAATATACTGTACCTAGTATTTCTGGGCATGGCCAAAAACATAGGGTGTTATTCACAAAGCTGCCAAAGGATCTAGCTTTAGCTTCGGCTGATCCTTCCGCTAGCTTCGGCCCCAGGACCCCTTCAGTTCAATAGAACCGATCGGCTGCTGTACGGGCTATTCACTATAGCCCGTACAGCTCCCGAAGTTGGCCGAGGGGCTCAGCCGAGCCGAAGGCATATGCTTCGGCTCGACTGAGCCCAGGGGAAATTCGAAGCTGGCCAACAGCCTGATACTGACTGCTGGGCGGAGCCAGATGTCATCTCACGGCTGGCTCTGTCCACTTGCAGATTCAGATCAGTGTCCCTGGTTACCAGGTAACCAGGGACGCTATTCTGTCATTACACTGAGAACCCGTTGGAGCCTCAGTGATATCACAGCAGCTCCGCCGGGTTCTGTGTGTAATGACAGAACGGCGTCCCTGTTTACCTAGTAACCAGGGACAACGTTCTGACATTACACTGCGGCTCCGCTGGGTTCTGTGTGTAATGACAGATGGTAGTCCCTGGTTACCATTACGATGAGAGCTTAGGAGAGTCGGCAGTGATATGAAAGCCGACTCTGCTAAGCTCTCATACAAGGTAACCAGCGGACGCTGTTCTGCCATTAGGATGAGAGCTTAGCAGAGTCGGCTTTCATATCACTGCCGGCTCCGACAAGCTCTCATTGTAATGACAGCTGGTCTCAGCCAATAGAAAACAGTTGGGCGGAGTTAGCTGTCACTGCTAGCTCCGCCCAATCGTTTTTTGTTTTTTTAACACTTTTTGTAACTGTTTTTCTATTCTGCTCGGTACCACCAGAGGTACCGAGCAGAATAGCCGCTAGCGCTGTCACCGCTAGCTCCGCCCAATTGTTTATATTTTGCCGGCATCTATCACAATGCCATTCTGCAGTGGGAGTTCATCGCAATCGGACAGGTGTCATTTAAAAAATTGTTTCTATTTCTTTTTTCTTGTTTTTTAATTTCATCGAGTCGTTGTGGACAACGCTGGACGTTGTAATTTACCTTAGGATTACGTCAGTGGATCCATTTTTTTTTTTAAATAAAAGACTTGTCAAAAACATGTTTTTTTTTTGAATTAAAGGATTTCTTCTAAAGTATGGTGTCTTTTTTGCTAAATGCGAGCCAAATGCGAATGAGAATAGTGGTGAACAGCAGCGAGAGAACTGCCGGAGCTTCGCCATGCATAGCATGTTCAGCTGATCAAAGGCAGCCGTACAGAGCCGACGTACAGCTGATTTCAGGCAATGTATGGCTGAAATCAGCCGGAGTGAATAGCCGAACATCTTCGGCAGCTTAGTGAATAACCCTCATAATATTAGCAGCTAACTCTTACACATTAGAACTAGCATTCAAAATAAAACATTTTAATAAAGCTAAACTATTTCCATCATAAATGAATGCACAAAAGGTAAAGAACTGGGGAATTAGTAATGGACACAGAACGTCTGCAATGGTAAACTTGAAATGGATATAAAAAAGTGGTTTACATGGTGTGCTCATGGTTGCAATGCATTTGAGTGAATTGAGGATTTAAGCACTTGTTAGTGATTGCTTGGACATGTTTCACCTTTTGTGTTCACTGGCATATTGCTGCTCATAAATATCACCAGTTTGTGACTAGTTCATGCTTAGCACCAGTTGTAAAACATGGATGGCAGTGGGAGACCATCAATGTAGAGACCTGAAGGGGCTAAGGCTTTTGCCTCAGGTTACCTCAGATGGCATCTTGTGGGGGGCAGCAGGCAAAGCGGCATACATAATGTCTGCAGTGAGCCTGACACCTTCTTTCCAGCCAGAGCATCCCACATTGCTAAGAACCGGGTGGGAAGATGTGTGAGTGCAATACACATTTCTCTGCCAAGCTATTAGCAACCTGGGGTGCTCTTGCCGGCATCCAGCCGAGCTCCTGGCAACCATTGATTTCTTTCCCCTGCAGCCCCAGATGGCAAAAAAGCTAGGGACGCACAGATTACTGATCACAGATAAACAACTCCTTTCACCTCTGAGTCTAAATCTAGGAGGCCTCTCACATCTTTCCCTTTGTCTTTCGCTTTTCTGATGTGGCTATACTTGCACACCCCATGCCTAGTGCCCAGTCTTCGGTTCCCCTCAGCTTCTGTTCATTTCATTTCCAATGTCACAGAATCTTTTGATGGCACTGACGCTCAGTTATCTAAACTTTAGTAAAGACTTCCCATATAAGATAACAACATCTTCTTGATCAGACACACAGTAGATCTGGTACACAGCTTTAAAGTGTAAGTCAAGCCAACTTTTTATTTTCTAATTTTGGATTGACAGGAGAAGAATTAGAACTCCTGTTTACAGATTTCTACTGGAATCTGAGGCTTCATTAGAGAGATTAATTCTCACTTCCTATACTGCTAACAAAGGTTTAATCAGATAGGAAGTAAGGGAAAATCTACAACAGGTATACTAACAGAACTAAACGTTTGACAGCTGTTCAAGCTCACCCCTACTTTTATAAAGAAAATAATGTTTATTTCTGTCTTTGTTGCTGTTTCAGATATACCCCACGTCTTGTCTGGTAAAATGTTGTCAGCAGGAAAGAAAGGGTAAACCTTTGTAATAGATCCCGGGATAGTATAATAAAACTGTTAGGGGTTGTCATCTTTTTCTACTCTACCCAAAACTAAGAAAAAAAGTTTTGACTAGACAAACACTTTAAATACAATAAAGCCTTTTAAACTCCTAGGGAAGTGCTGCCCCTGGCTCTGTTCTGCCCTTTCAAAATGGAGAGAATCAATGTGAACTTTCATAATTTATTTGTCCTGTGCTTTGCTGTATTGAAGACAGGGGAGTTCTCAGCTCCCCTGCCACCATCCACTAGGCAAGCACAAGCAGTACAGCGGCTTCCAATACTAGCCCACATGCAGGGGCTCTTGGGGGTTATTGTCTGGCAGGGCATAGGAAACAATGTAGAGTGTCCTGCTGACTCCTCCCACCGGTTGCTGCTGCCTAGACCTGTAATAGAAGCCCTGTGAAGATGTCACATTGAATAAAGCTAGGGTTATCTAAATAAAGAAGCAGTTTAAATGAGAAATCCCTTCTAATGTTTTAAAAGGGGCTAAGAGGATGGGTTAAATGATTGTATATATTGTCTGAACTTCAGCTTTAAAGCTTTTCAGTGGGCAACATAAATAAAATATAAAAAACTATGAATATAACATGAATGTGAAATAATTTTTTGGGTTGTGCAGATATTTGAAGCTGAGCTTTAAACAGACAACTAAAGGAGTGAGCATTGGGAACAAAAGTAGCCACCCCCCAGAAGGAAGGACAGTGTCAGCATCAATTCAGAGATGATTTGAGGATCTACAGCTGAGCGATACACAAATAAGATACATTTTTGTTAATAGTTAAGGTACTTGAATGCATTTTTAAAGTGTAACTCCTGAGTTTAGTATCACTTTAAGGTTCTCACCCCTGTTATAACAGGGTTTCCTAATGGCCCATTATCAGTGGCAGCTATCCACCAATCTACAATACCCAATATGGTTCTGCAAGCAGTCGGTGGGCTGGCTTTTGAGATTCAATGATTTTAATGTCAAGTAAATGTATTGGTGAAGGCATAAGAACAGAAAACTCTCCTTCTATTGCTCTGGTATCTACACAGGACTGGAAATGTGTACAGACGCAGAGCAAAGCAAGCAAGAAATCTGAAGCACTGTCGCCTTGTTCACAGCTGTAAATTTTCTGAATTAGGTAACAAGCAGCTGTAGTATGCTGAGTAATGTAGAGGAGTAAACAGAGACATCTCTGAGAATGGTGCTTGGCAGGGACAGGCAGTTTAAGTTCCCTAGCAGGCTTGAAACGTCACGCTGATTTGAATTACTGTGAAATGAGTTACTACCTAGCACAGGAAGCATGTGATTGGTCTCCACAAGAGCCAATAAGAGCTCCTCTGCCTCCAAGAGGCAACCTCTGAAAGCTATTTAACACAAACCATGCCATTCCTCTTGTTCTCCATTCCATTCCACATTGTAGCTGAAAACATAGACTAGAAATTAGACTTCTAAAGGCAAGGCAATTCTTGAATAGAATATCATCAACCGTCCTTTCCTGATTGGCTGAAATGTCACTTTCTATGGCTGAAAGTATTTTTTTTTTATTGGCCGATCCTGGCTAATGGGGCAAAGTGGGATTGAGGATGGCTATGTGAAAGTAAAAGTAAGTAGAGGATTTTTGTACACAGTTCCACAGCTTCCATCTAGGGATTGCTAGAGATGTGACAGAATAGCTACAACAGCCTGAGACTTGCTGTGTTTTCTGGAAAGAAATAGTCAGTTCAAGGACTAATTCTTCATAATTCCTAGAGATTAAATTATCAGGGTTTTTCACAAAAGGGTGAAGAGTTTGTAGAAGGCAGGACAAGTGAACAATTTAGGACAACATAGTTAAACTGGAAAGTGAGCTGAATTTAAGAATTTTTCCCAATCAGCTATGTTGTCCTAGATTGTTCATTGCTCCTGCCTTCTTCAAACTCTTAACCCTTTTGTGAATAACACTGTATACCACTACAAACAAAATTGAATGATAATGCTCATTTTGTTTCATACAAATCCTATTGGAATGTTTTAATCTCTTTCTGTGAGTCAGCCTTTTGCTTTTACATAGGTCAATGGAGCCTAGAATGAAACTCTGGCTTTTAATAATAAACCATTTCAATGGATTATTTCTGTACATGAAATAGTCATTAGTATAATATGTAGCTAACAAGTGGAATTAACATACAATGTTTATTTAAGTAATGTTTGTTCTGGTGACTCATTAAATTGCCATCTGCTCTGGACTGCATGAGACAATGTAATAACATCTGAAGGATGTGTAAGGTAGATGACTTAAACAATTTATAATGTAACATTCAATATGCATTAGAGGGCAACAGTTAGTTGACATAGTTAATTATAAATGTTTTTATGACACAGATGTTTAAATTGCCTATTAGTCTGCTTCTACAATAACATGAGATGTATGGGGAGGCTCCTTTGGACATAGCACATGAGATCTAACTCTATAATTTCACAATTCAAAATAATTACCTTAGAAATCTTTCAAGGTCTTCTCGACTACATCTGGACCATGAAACATCTCCAAGATTCTGCCCCTTGATCCATTCTCCTGACATAATGTGAAGGCCGTCTGCACAGGATGGGTGGTCATTGTCGTGATTGATACCCATGCTAATTTTATCACATGTAAAAGAAGAATTATCACAAAAATTACACAACCATCTTCTTACAAATGTAGTAGATTTAGGTTCTAAATAAATGTAAACACGGGCATAGTACAGATATTATAGTTTTACTAGTTATGAGAAATAAAATGTGCTTTATGCTTGCCCATATATCTTTATTTGACTTAACAAATCCCAAATAAAACATGGGCATAGTACAGATATTATAGTTTTACTAGTTATGAGAAATAAAATGTGCTTTATGCTTGCCCATATATCTTTATTTGACTTAAAAATCCCAAATAAAACATAGACATAGTACAGATATTATAGTCTTACTAGTTATGAGAAATAAAATGTGCTTTACGCTTGCCCATATATCTTTATTTGACTTAAAAAATCCCAAATAATATAATATAAAATAATCAAGATATCTAAAATAAATAAAATGTGCTCTATGCCTGCTCATATATATGTTAAACAATTAAGAATAAAAGCATATAAAATAATCAAATTAGAATAGAAAATAATAGTTTT